TAGCATTCTAATATATTGATAACAGTAATAGATAACGTTCAATTTAGATGTCATCACGGATGACGATTGATTATCCGATTAAATCTCTTTCGGAAACTGGAATAACGATATAGCATTAGATAAAATGACAACTGTTTCATATTGTGTACATTTAATAATTTTGTAATTGATTTAGTTTCAAGCAAAAACAAGATTTATAATTATAAAAATAATGACCGATGATATCAACGTGTATTAGACAATATAATCTTGAACTCGATTGCAGTTGTTAATATTGAGGGTTATCAAATAGTATTTTTATTGAGAATAATATCGAAAGAAATATAAGAAAAAAATTGTCTCTTGAATTGTTCACTGTAATTTACAGAATTAAGTTTAATAGCTCAAATCAGAATGTGTCGTTATTGTGCGGTTATTTAGGTCTTCATTTCTCAAGTACTTTTGAGAATCGTTAATATGAATTGATGAATGATGAATTAGACTCTTTTAAAGGAACAACAAAACGATTTATCTCCAGAATATAAAATGACAGAAAAATTTTATCCCACATATTGTAATTGTCCTTCAAATAGTCTTTAGAATATATTTCTTTTTTAAAAGATATCGATTTTCGAAACATGAAGGCGTATAGTCAATTAGCATTGATTCATCAAACAATGTGAGCGCATGCCAGAATCGTATTACTATAGAGTACGATTATATCTTTTGTCAGCTTAGAATATTTTTTATCTACCATGTCATGTTGATTGTTTTCTAGCAGGTTTATAACAATGACTGAAATTGTATTCGAATGCAGTTTTTGTTGCTTTCTGCAATCTCAAATACATGAATGATATTATCTAGAAGTATGAGATATTGATTAAATCAAAAGTTTATTCATACAACGCAAATTAATGGCTTTGCTTCAAAATTGTTTTACTCTTCCCTTTTTTTTGTATATAATTTATTTATTTCACGACATTTCGAAGGAAAGGTTCTTCTTCGTCAGATTGTTACACACAAAAAAGATAAAATTGATTTACACATGAGTAACACATATATAAAGATATATATATATGTACAAGATTGAACTTTCTCTTTTCTTTTTCTTTTTTGTTCTTTTTAATTTTCAATAATGGAGCGGACGAAGAATAAAATAAATAATATTTTCTTTCTGCTCCAGTGTCACCGTCTTGTTGTCGTCCGTTCCACTATTGAAAATTAAAAAGAAAAAAAAGAAAGAGTTCAATCTTGTACATACATATATCTTTATACGCGTTTTACTCATGTGTAAATCAATTTTATCTTTTTGTGTGTAACAACCTGACGAAGAAGGAAATGTCCTTCAAAACGTCGTGAAATAAATAAATTATATACAAAAAAAGTAAAAGTAAAACAATTCTGACATAAATATTATGTCCTTCCTAAAAATCACGAAAATTAATGGCATCAAGACAAAACAGTTCCAAACTAAGAAATTAAGAAACAAACAGCACGTTTGTGATTGAAATAGTATAATGGCTTTTACTCATTTGTTTTATCGTCTTTAAAGTAAAATAAGCATACAAAGTGGTTCTCTGACTTATGATAAACGCTGCTTTAGGACCATCGAATGTGAGAAGGTGTCACGCACTAAGCATATTTGATGATGTGCACGATATTGATAATAATTCTCTACATGTTTCAGATAGCCACTGATGTATTATAAATGAATGAATAGAACTGCTACCCTAATTAATTGAAAGATAGCATAAAAGACAGACGATTGATTATAGTATTAGTTCACTTGTGAATAACTGCTCATCGACGACAATAAAATTTACGACTAGAAGATGGACGATTGGATGTTAAATAACATACTAAGTTGTATTTAATATACATAAAGATTTATTGAAACGAAAACTTATCTACTATATGTAATAAAATGAACATAAAAAGTTATTTTAAAGTTGATTCGTTTCTATTCCAGATAGTGTACACTTTCCATATATCGGTTTATAATTTGGATGAGGAGACGCAGATTTTCAATTATGAACAATAATTTAACTGATTGAAAAAAGCAACAAATGAAGATTTTATCAAAAGATTAATCATAATTTTATGGATAATAGTGCAATATACGAATCAACTATAATACATTCGTCATTTATTAAAAGAATTATATGAAAAAAAAATGTTTTTTTTTTCAATATCAATGATCACACTGTATTTTGAAAAATTAAATCTATCAGTCAGAATCGATAGTTTGATGCTAATTGTTAAATATTTGCTTCACCTGACATCTAAATTGATGACAGAGCACAAATAAGAACGACAACTTACTTTATCTTTCAGGACAAAAGACGTGATATAGATAAAAAAAAGTTATGGATCAAACGAGCACATCTGAATTCGAATTTATAACAAAAATCAACATTTCATATGTATTCAAATTCTATATAAAGCAAGTTTTAACACTATAGTAAATAATATACAAGAGACTTGTTCAGTAGCTATGCATGAAAACCAAAACAAGTAAATCAAACTTACAAATGTGAAAAAACATGGAATTTTGTTTTATTAATCGCAAATCAGTTTTTAGCGACAATAGTAAAATTTCAAGTTTTTCTTTTATCCTTATTTTCTTTATTTAATAATAAAAAATTATAATATGTTCAATAGAACACAAATCCGTCTTCTATAAGGCCGATTTCTCGGCAGATCAAACGTTGTCAAAGTTGTGATTTTGATCACATTCAAGATTTTTTAGAATGTCTGCTGATCGACAGGAACTAGCTAAAGAGTTACATTATTTATCAGAGTAAGTACTTAAATAAGATCCCTCTATAGCCAAAATATCAGCTGTATAACAAGATTTGTTCATGCAATATGTATATGCAGAAAATACCAAAAACTTATTTAGTCGTACTGATCAACTCATCAACAGTTCATTCATTTGAACTCCTCTTTTTATGATAAGTACATTAAGTTGAGATTCTTGTATAGTAATGTTTCAAGCCAAACGGGCGTATTTCTAGCGATATATGAATGCCACTAAAAGCAAAAAATATAGTTTTTTTTGCCTATAATGTCCTTTGTAATGTTCAAGTATCTCGGTCACGAGACAATACTCTTTCCAGCAACTTGCGCCAAAATTCTTAGAACGTTTCTCGCTATACGACATATCTTGAATTGAGCAAAACCTGATAACCTCAATAGAGCAGCTTCTACGAACTTGCTCGTAAATCATTTGATTTGCTCAGCTGTTCTGCACACATTGAGCGTATGTTCAACGGATAGAGTCATTAGACACTAAGAAATTATCATTGCTATCGTTCTTAGCTAAAATCTATAATATGGTATAAAGCGATGCATTCACTGTCGAAATAAATGACTGAACACGTCGCAAATTCTTTGCAATCAATAAGAGCCCATGTCGTCAAAATCGCGTTACTTTTGGCGATTAATCGGCGATTCTGCAAATTGCAACAACAAGTACTAATTTACAAAAATAAGTGTTTTTTTCCCGTTGATTCAACATCGTCTGAATGTCTTAATGAACGGTAAGCATAAATTTATAAAAAATATTCTTTTTTTTGTTTATTGCAGTATTTCAATAAACGGTAAGCATTATTCAATAAAATAATTTTTTATTCTTTTATTGAGGTCATCTGATCATCACAATGAAAGGGTAACTATCATTGTATAAGCATATCTTCTTTTTTATTTAGATCGTTCGATGGTCTCAATGAATAATAGGTATTATTTTATTTTATTTTGTTTTATTTACTGTGAATGGGGATATCAATATTGTCTCATTCGCGAGTAGCAGTGTCGACTTAGCATGAGCATTAGACTAATGCTAAGAGCAACACTTGTTACGATTCGAAGAGAAAAATATTGCAATTTTTATTAATTAATGTAATGCTAAAGTGAAGCCGTATCCCTGAGTAATTTCGATACTCTTTTGTGACATTTTTAATACAGAATCATTGTAGCTACTGTTAAATTGATGCAATATTACATTGATTCAAAAGTAGTTACGATGCTTGTGAAATAAAATTGGAATATAAAAGAATTGAAATTAGTCAGAAATACTTCGCGTTAGCATGGCAGCATTCAATAGAAATTTCAATACCTTTATCTTATGATTGCAACACAAAGGTAGTGCTGTTAGTATTAATTTAATGATGATGCTAAAGCGGCACTCCGATTCGCGAGAAACATGTATGAGTACGATGGTGAGCGACAATGGTATATAGGTCGAGACCTAGTAATAGTTGTAGGTCCAAATGCTATGACTAGGTTCGATCATTGGAAATATTATTTGAAAAATCGCGTTTTCATTGAAAGAATTACAAAGAAAATCTAAAAAACTCGCGATTTTTCACGAAAATCGGGGACTAAAATCGGCAAAAATCACCAATCTAGGCGATTAATCGGGTTAATCAATTTAGTATATTCTCTAATGTATCATATCGTATCCTCCGTATCATCTTCGGATCAGTGATACTGAGAATCCGCTTTTCCCTCTTGGCTAATTTTCTGTCTGCATATGAACTAATTTTGTGGTGCCTCACGACTTATGAAGCGCCCTGTAGACTTCGATTAAAACACGATTTAATATTTCAACCAATATTACGCATAATTATGAGTAAAAATAATGATATCATTCGTGTATAAAACTAATTTAAAATATATCATGAGTTGCCACATAATAATTTAATCGTAGTATTAGTTTGATTAAATGATGTAGAAATGCAATGAGTTATATCATTGCCGTTGTGAATGATTCTTTCGTGTTTCTAATTACATGATGCGCATGACTACGTAAAATTTTTTTTCTCAATAATAACATAAAATAAAACGTAGCATATAATATCTGATATTACAGGAAACTCGTCAATTATGCGTATTAATGATAGATAATTACACAGCTTTAGTCATATATACTTTTAGTCCTTATATAAGAAGAGAAATAGCTAGTTTGCTGACAAAAAAGAGTAGCTTTATAAAGTTACATACTGTAAGTGAAAATACTAATGCCGTCGAATGAACTTCTAAATATTGTTTCAGCATATGTCTCAATTTATTTTGGTCTAGTTATTCTTATTGGTGGTTTAATTGGCAATCTATTCAATATTCTTGTCTTTCTTAGTCTTAAAACTTTTCGAGAAAATTCATGTGCATTCTATTTAACAACTATGTCGTTACTTAATATAGGCCAATTATTAACGGGCGTACTTCCAGGAATCATGAATGTTTGGTTTGCTATCGATTGGCCTGATGGTTCACTGATCTATTGTAAATTTCGAGCATACTGTTTTCAAGTATGTTCATTAACTTCTTTCACATGCATGTGTATAGCAACAATTGATCAATTCTTGGCAACATATTCAAACCCTCGTTGGCAACGATATTGTAATATTAAATTTGCTTATCGGTTTTTTACAATATCTTTTCTTATTTGGATTCTTCATGGAATTCCAACATTAATTTACCAAACTCATACTACCTCAACGTTGACTGGCGTAACTCATTGTGACATTTCTGATGGTACATTTCAAAAATATTATAACTATGGATTCGTTCTTGTCTTAACTAGTACTCTACCTGTCGTTGTGACGGCTGTACTTGGTTCATTAGCTTATCGTAATGTAAGACTATTAGCTTATCGTACAGTGCCTTTCGTTCAACGTGAGCTAGATAAACAATTAACAGTTATGGTTCTTGTACAAGTTGCTTTCAATTTTTGTGTTATCGTACCATATATTATTACATATATGTTTAATTTTATCGTAACTTTGAATAGCAACTCTATTGAATATGCAGTATTTCAATTAGCTAGAAATGTATCAATTAATTTCTTTTATTTGTATTTCGCGGTAAGTGTAAATAATCGAGTGCAAATATCATCGATACATTGACTTTACCTTTTTATTTTGATTTGCGCCCATTGCGATTTGTTGCCGTTGTCTCATATATATTCCACAGAGTACGTGCATTAGCTGTTTACGAAATCTTGTCGATACACCTATCTATATAT